ATTCCTTCCTTTAAAACCATTTTTTAATAGTTATAATGATAACTACCTTTTTTAAAGGTCCTTATGTATTAGTCATTGCTGTTGCAAAGTACCTTATATGTGTTATTTAATTTTACAACCACCCTATTAAGAAGGGAGTAGTTTACAGGTGAGGAAACTGAAGTTTATAGAGATGAAGTCATCTACCCAAGGTTATCTAGGGTCTGCCTGATTCTCTAGCCCATGTTCTTAAATCATTCTATCCATATTGTCTCCCTGTAATTAGCACAATTGGTACCCTTTGCTTTTCACCTGCTGACATTTAGGATAAAGCTTATCCTAAATCTATGTGACATATGCACTAAATGGCCCAAGACTGACAGATGGCACACTTTAGTTTCATACATTAAATGGTTCTTTTACTGAACTAATAAATTATCAATATATTTCAAAAGAATTAACAAGTGTGAAGCAGAATGGCACAATATAGAGGAAGAGGGCTTTGAACTCACAGAGACTGCAGTTTGAGTTCTTGTGCCAACACTTAAGTCATCTTAAATAAGTTATTTGACTTCTCTAAGCTTCAATTTCCTTATCTAAGAACAATCTGAAAATATTTTATAGTTGTGAATATTAAATGCATGAATGAGAAAGCATTAAGAGAACACTGTGAGGGCTCAATAATAATTATTTATATAATTCTGTAGAGGTCTGCTTCTAGCTCTAGAAGATTCTTGCCACTTATATTTATACTTGATTTTTAAAATACTTTTAAATATGTTCTGTTAATAAAGTCAACAAATGTTTATTGAACAACTACATTGTCCTAAACGTGGTTCTATAAATCAGACACTCACAACTCTGGTAGATATTACTGTAAGGACCTTAATAGCAAATTTTTTTTAACTCCCAAAATAGAGAATTCCCTGGTGGTCCAGTGGTTAGGACTCCATGCTTTCACTGCTGAGGGTCCACCCAGGGTCAGGGAGCTAAGATCCCACAAGCTGTGTGTTGTGGCAAAAAAGAACCCCAAACACAAAAAACAAAAATAAACTCTAAGTACACGAAGTAATTTCATTTGCATCATATAGTATTAAACCAAAACCCAAGAGGGTCTTTCCTGAAGTCTTCTCAGACTTCATCTAGTCTTACTCCATGCTCTTTTAGGTAACTGCATCTTCTCCTGAGCTATGATCAAACATCACATCTAGGCAGATGATTACACACTTCAACTTGAGCCCCGATATCTTCTCCTGAACTCTTGCTGGATATTAACTTTGAAGTGTCTATAAGAAATTCATTATTTCTCCTCTTCTTCGTCCACTGCTACCACCAAAACTAGCTCTTCCTCATCCCTAATCTGCACTGTTAGTGGTTTCAAACCTCAAAATTATCTTGCTATCTCTTGTTCCCTTGTCTGTAATTAGTGTTCTTCCATATACCATTCAGATCTATTCCTTCTTGTCCATTCCTTCCACCAACACTAGTTTGGGACCTCATTCCCTCTAACTTAGGCTATCGAAAGGCACTTGATGTCACTTTTATTTGTTGAAAAGAATAATTATAAAGACTATGGCAAACAAGGGAAATATATTAGCTGAATAGAACCTTAAAGTAATTAAACGCAATGTATACTACCATTCCAACCATGTAGAAAAAGTATATATAAGAGGACAAGGATAAAATGCAAAGATGAACACTGTTCAGCTGTTAATAATAGGATAATGGGTGGTGTAGTAAAGATGTTAAACAGCAGTCCCCAACCTTTTGGGCACCAGGGACCAGTTTTGAGGAAGACAATTTTACCACGGACCAGGGCAGGGTGGGGGATGGTTCAGGCAGTAATGCCAGCGATGGGGAGCAATAGGGCGCGGCAGATGAAGCTTCATTCGCCTGCCTGCTGCTCACCTCCTTCTCTGTGGCCCGGTTCCTAACAGGCCACAGACCAGTACCAGTCCACAGCCCAGGGGTTGGGGACCCCTGAAGTAAAGTACCCAAAGTACCCATAGCCTCTCCAGAAGGAAAATTCTCTAGGCAGCCATATTTAGTACCATATCACCCTCCTTTCTTCTGATCCTTACCCACAAGCATAGCTGGTTACACCAAGGATGGATCCTCGGTCTGACCCAAGGATAGCCAGTAATCTCTGAGGTAGTCTGGTGTGGAAAACTGCCCCCAAAAGAGAGGAGCTGCACCAGGAGTTTAAATTAGAAAAGGCAGAGAAAACAGGGCAGTTATAGTGAAAACGTCAACATATATGTAGAGAGAAAGGCTACAGTGTGAGATATGAACAATGAGGAGCCATAAGCGAGCTAAGGTTACAAGTATGCCAATCCAAAGAATGGGGAGAAACTAAAAGATGGAGAAAAGAAACATAGGCAGACACACAGCTGGTGGCAGGCACAGTGAGAAGCCAATACAGAGTGATTCACTGAGCCATGTTATTGGTGTAGTATGAGTATGAAGAACTTGGCTCTGCCATTTACCAGCTGTGTAACCTTGGGCAAGTCCTTTACCCCTCTGTACCTTTATTTGCTCATCTGTGTAAAGGGTGGTTTATCTAACTGGGTGGTTACGAGGCCTGAATGAGTAATGTAACAGTGCCTGGCACACAGAAAGCACTTGATAAATGCTATTACTATCACATTCATCATCATTATCCACAAGCTCCTGCTAAGGTTCCTGAAGCTTCCCTGAGCCAAAATGCTCGGCAGAGAAGTATAGTACCTCTACCTGCTCCAGAGAGACTATAGTTCTGATCCTTGGATTTCCAAAACAGCATATTTCCTTTAATGTTCTAAATATCCTTTCAATAAAACTCCTCATTTAAAATGTAAATGGACTTAATAAAAGAACTACAGGCATACCTTAGAGATATTGTGGGTTCTGCCCCAGACCACTGCAAAAAAGTGAATATTGCAATAAAGCGAATCACATGAATTTTTTGGTTTCCCAGTACATATAAAACTTATGTTTACACTATACTGTAGTCTATTAAGTGTGTAATAGCATTATGTCTAAAAATGTATATATTTTAAAATACTTTATTGCTAAAAAATGCTAACCACCATCTGAGTCTTCAGCAAGTCAATCGTTTTGCAATAGTAACATCAAAGATCACTGAGCACAGATTACCATAACAAATATATAATAAAGAAAAAGTTTGAAATATTGCAAGAGTTACCAAAACGTGACACAGAGACACGAAGTAAGCAAATGTTGTTGGAAAAATGGCACTGACAGACTTACTTGACACAGGGTTGCTACAAACCTTTAATTTGTAAAAAATGTAATAAAATGAAGTATGCCTGTATTTACAAACAGATTTATTTTACTATATTTTATTTTATTATATATTTTACTTTTACCATTAGGGAGAAATTTTACCATCACCAGAAATACATATAAGTGTTCCCTTTTGTCTGTAAGTTGCTGACTCAAGAAAAGCATTAAGAAAATCAATTCTTTAGAACGAACCCATGAAAACAATCCTTGATGTCCTCAATCTGAAAACCCTGCTCAAAAATCTCCTTTCTGGGGGCTTCCCTGGTGGCGCAGTGGTTGAGAGTCCGCCTGCCGATGCAGGGGACGCGTGTTCATTCCCTGGTCCGGGAAGATCCCTCATGCCGCGAAGCAGCTGGGCCCGTGAGCCATGGCCGCTGAGCCTGCGCGTCTGGAGCCTGTGCTCCGCAATGGGAGAGGCCACAACAGTGAGAGGCCAGCGAACCGCAAAAAAAAACTAATGAAAAAAAAAAAAAAAATCTCCATTCTGAAATCTTCCTTTCCTGACAATCATTTCATTTCCTCATTTCCTTCATTTCCTTCCCTTTTCCTTATCAGTTAAGTATATGATGCTGATTATATTTTTTCTATATTGTTCTTAGGTTGGGTTATCTTTTATTTTTCCTAATTTCCTCATGTGTTTGTTCCCTCTCACCTATGACAGTATGAACCCCAGAGAACAGGGACTTGTCTCTTCCATTTCTTTCGTGGCAGCAGGAGTGTATAATGAAATAAGCAGGAGATTTAAAATAAGATGCTAGAGATGCTAGAGTCAAGCCCCAACTCTCTCACTTCCTACTTCTCTCTTTGGATAAGTCACTCAACCTGTCTCAGACTCCATGGCATTTTCTATAAAAAAGGAAACAATATCCATCTGATTTCAAAGTCCATGTGATTTCTCACTCTGCTTCTCTAACTCTGATAGATGGCATTCATGAAGAGTTTTATAGTTCCATCCTTAGGCACATGCAGTACAGCTCACATTCAAACCTAAAATTACTACGTGGAGAACGATAAAATAACAATTGTTAAGGACAAACGGCGAAGGCCACCTTATCTGGATTTGTGGAGGGCATTTACCTTCTCACAGTTTATCTTTAAAGCAGTGCCTGGAATTAGCTTCCAAGTAACTGTATTTCATCACTTAATCATAAGCCATCATGGTTTGCCCCCCCATCCTGCTCCCTAGCAAAGCAAGTTCATTAATCTAACATTAATTTGTCACCACTCGTTGGCAGACTCTGAACTTTTACCTGGCCACAGAAGAATGTGACTTCATAACTCTGACATGAGTATGATTTAAAGCAAAAATCTCATTTGGCTGCACTTGTGATTTTAGCTTAAACTCCTTCCTCTCCTTCTCTCCCCTGCCCCCGCCCAAAATTTATGACAAAACAAACAGCATAAATTAAACAAAAACTGTTGTAGGTCACATTATTATTCTCTTCTGCAGAATCATATAAAAAATAATAATTTATTTCCAGAAATTACCCAAGTAAAATATTTGGGATTCTAACTAATACAGCTGAACAAGAGAGAGTATTAAAAGTATCACAAAATTACCACCTAGGGGGGTGGGACAGGGAGGGTGGGAGGGAGATGCAAGAGGGAGGAGATATGGGGATATATGTATAGCTGATTCACTTTGTTATAAAGTAGAAACTAACACACCATTGTAAAGCAATTATACTCCAATAAAGATGTTAAAAAAAAAGTATCACAAAATTAAATTCACTTACTTGACATTTCTGACGCAATTGTCGTAGTTCTTTTATAACTGGAGCTAGAGCTGATTTCTTTTCAGATACCAGAGAATTTAGTTTTTTCACCTGTCATTTAAACAAAATATATGACATCTAAGAAAAGAACTCAAAAGAACAAAAATACCATAAAGGTATTTATTGAAGTGTTATATATGAGTGAAAAAAACTATAAATTACTTCAATGTCAAACAATGGGGAAGTCATTTAGTAAGTACTGATTCCTCAATAAGAAGGAATATCATTTAACTCTTCAAAATGTCAATTATTAAAACTGCAAACCATTATGGGAAAATATTTACAATCTAGCACTGAATAACTAAAACAAATTACAAAGTTGCCTTTATACAGCTTTGTATTATGTAAAAAGTATACAATTATGTAGGTTATATAAAATACACATAAACATAGACGAAGTGATATTCAAGATAATTAATAACCCAAAAGGCATAAGTAATGACCAATCAGAATGGACACCAGCCATAGAGATGAACAGGGTCTTGGAGGCCTCTGCTGTACTAAATGTTCATCTTTATAGGAGTTAGAATGTGGTGAAATCCAGAGGGTTCTGGGACCAATGTGGACAAGACAGGTGGAGGTGGGTACTCTGAGAGTTTGGGGCAGCAGCTATTTACCAATAAGTAGTGAAAGATTTCAACATTTTAATGCCTGATGAAGCTGTATCCGTGCATTCTGGCTGAATAGCAGTCCTGAATACAGAAAGATACTAAGGACATACACAAAAATGAAATAATTGTATTAATTTAAGTAGCATGATTTGGGGAAACTTGTTTTTTATCTTAAATATTTCTTTAATACCACGTAACTTTTTTTTTTGGCTGAGCTGTGCAGCATGCGGGATCTTAGTTCCCTGACCAGGGACCGAACCCGAGCCTCCTGCAATGGAAGCACAGAGTCCTAGCCACTAGACTGCCAGGTAATTCCCAATGCTATGTAACTTTTACACACTTCAAAAACCACAAAATTGAACAACCTCTTTACAACCTCATTAGAATGGAAAAAGGTGAAAGAATGTAAAGAAAACATTGTGCAGAAATGAAAATTTGAATGCTTCACTGAAAACAGAACACAAAATATCTGCCTCAGAGGTAGACCATAAAACAAATAAACAAACAAAGCCTGTGTAATCACCATTTCAGACATGTCATCCAGTGTTCGTCCTTTCACTTCATCAACTTCACTCTTCAGGGCGGATACTCTTTCTAGCTCTTCTTGGGTGTAACTATATCCAGATATACCCTTTTTCTCCTCAATAGTTTGCTAAAAGTAAAGAATAAAATAGGTGTAAAAAATGGGGTCCACAAAATGGGTGTCAAAACCTTGATGATTCCATAATAAGTATATAGATTTAATAGGTAACAATAAAGTCGCAAATAAAGTAGTTTAAATCCTAAAAAACAATCTTTATTGACTTCAACAATAATTACGTTCCTTTATACGTTATAAACTTATACTGAAGAACTGAGAGGATGGAGCGCCCATTTGTTGAGATGAGGAGGACTTGGGAGGAACAGGTGAGGGAGTAGTAAAGATCAGAAGTTTAGTTTTGGACATGTTACAAATCTGAAATCTCTAGCAGAAATCCAAGAGAGTTCAAGATGTTGCATATACAAGACTGAAATTTGAGAAGCAACTGGAGATACAAATTTGTGAGTTGTCTGCATAGACAATATCTTTAAAGCCATAAGAGAATAAGATCACCAAGGGAGTGAGGGTAGAGAAGAGATCCAAGGCCTAAGCCTGGGGAACTCCAACACCTAGGCTTTGGAGAAATGAGAAGAAATCCACCATGGAGTAGGAACAGGAGTGTTAGTAAGGGAAAAACAAGGAGAGTGCAGTGTGCTAGAAGACAAGTAAAGAAAAATTTTACAGGAAGAGGGAGTTATGAACTATGTCAAACACTGCCAATAGGAAGATAACTAAAATGAATCTGTATGGACTAATCTCAGGATATTTTCAGTGGATACAGTGGGTGCTCTGCCCTGATCTGTTTATTGTGTCAGGGTACCCATCCCATAGCTGTTGTGAGAATTGGTATTTTGATGACAGTCTACAGCTGTCCCTTCTTCAAAGTGTACCCCTGGTTTAACAGGAACTATATCACACCACTTCTTGGGTGGTAGTAAGAGGGTCCATAGCAAATTACTGACTGACACAGGGGTCCAAAGGGGTAGCCCTCTTGCCTAAAGATGAGACCAACTCTGTGATGCAATTTATGCTCCAGAGCTCCTTATGCAATCAGAATGAAATTGGACTCCAACTGAATCCACTTTTTCCTCTTGCTTCATCTTTTTTCCTAAGAGCACTCACTGAATTATTCATATGAGGAGGAATAAGAAATCTTGTTTCAGGTTCTGCTTCTAGAGAACCTGACCAAACTACAAGGATGGGCTTCTAAGGTAGGATCACTCCCTAGGTGAATGGAACTGAGAGCCCTATCACTGGGGGCAAGCAGAGTATCGTTAGTCCTAGGCATGTTATAGCAGTACAATTGCTAAGACTGGTGAACTAGGGCAGAATATAGGTGGAAGGGATTATGGTGGGCATGACAATGAAAGGCTTGAATCTCCTTCAAGAGAGTTTGCTGAGAGGAACAAAGTTGACTGACAGCCATAACTGCTGCCCCTCTGGATCCACCATCACGTTCACACCAAGGCCATGCTTCCCCCAGGCTGTTCCCAGCCAGAGGCTGACCCATTCCTGCCTGACAGGGAACTCCTCTAATTGGTGACTGGCTCAGGAACTCCCCATCATCCCAACCAAAATGTCCTTAAAACTGTGCTTACACCCTAAGGCTCTTCCTCTCCAATCCTCCTTCCTTCTTCTTCCTTCACAGAACAGCCTAAAGGCATTTAGAGCCTAAAGGCTTTCCCTGCCGCCTGCTGCTCAATTCCCTTTACCCTTCACAAAGGCTTCCTCCAATAAATCTCTTATACATCTAATCCAATCTGGGCGTATGCTTCTTGGAGGACCTGAACTATCACAGGAACATACTAGCTGGTACAGTGTTGTTGGTGTTCAAGAAGCATGAAGAAATCGTAACTATAAGGACTATGAAATTGGGGTGGCTGTTGCTAAGCTCAAATGACGGGCTCAAATCCATTAATCAGTAATTTAAAGCAAAGTGATAAGTCAGAGAACCTCCTTAGGAGCTTTAAAGAAACCCTCATTTCCTGTGGCTATGAGGCAGAGAGAGCTGAAAACCACGGACAGGACTTAAATTGTAAGACTGGCAAAACTTCAGAGAAGGCTGAATATGTCCTATGTCAAAGTCAGAGCTCTGATAGGGAAGGGAAAGGGTGCTGAGTCTGAAATGGGGATAACTGGATAGGCTCACTTGAGAACCTTAAAACCCCAGATTATCTTTTATCTTCTGGGCAGTGGCAAATGGCTTAGCTTGTTGGGTCAGGGGCCTGGAGGAAGCAAGATAGCAAGACTAAATGACTGGGGACAAGGAGGTCTCGGGAAGAGGCATCTGGATCGAGCTATAAGAGTTAACACTAAGTGTGAAGATCTCTTCATCACATGTATATGGCCACTGGACAATGTCCACAGTAGAAGAGGCACTCAGCAGCCGAGTGGAAAGGATGATTTGGCCTTTCCAAAAAGGCCAAAAAGGCTGACAGTAGATGTCAGCCAGCCTCTGTCACTGGCCACCCAGTGTGTGGACAATGGGCTCATGAACAGAATGGCTATGTTGGCAGAGATGGAGGCTAAGTATGGACCAAATAACATGGGCTCTCTCACTAACGCTCATCTAGCTAATGCTACTGCCAAGTGTCTGAGCTGGTGGCAACACAGACCAATCCTGAATTCTGGGTATGGAATCATCCCTTGAGGAAACTGATCATCTACTTAGTGGCAATTTGATAACACCAGATTCTTTCTACCTTGAAAAGAACAACACTTCATCCTGAATGAGACTGACCTATATTGTGGGTAAGGGTTTGCTTTTCTTGCCCACAGCGCTTTAGGCAGCACCACTATCCAAAGGCTCAGAATGTCTGGTCTACTGATGTGGAATCCCACATAATATCACCTGAGACCAAGGGACCTACTTTATGGCAAAGTAGGTATGGCGATGGGAATATGACCACAGGATTCAGTCACTGTACCACACACCATCCAGAAAGCTGATGGCCTGACTGAATAGTGGAAGGGCCCTATGAACGTAAAGCTAAGGTGCCAGCTTGGAATTCATGGCCTGTGAAGATAAGTTCTATTCTTCATGATGGAGTGTATATCTTAAACCAATGCCCATTACATGGTGTTGGGTTCCAAATAGATCCAAAGACCCAAAAATACATGGGTCTTGGAACCATGACATGAAAGTATGAGTGTTATCACTCACCAGAATTCCAACTCATACACAGGGAATTATACTTCCCTTCTTGACAACTTTAGGCTCTGTGGGTATAAATGTTCTGGTTTCCGTAAGGCACATGCTTCCACCGGAAGGCACATTGAGAAGCCCTTTAAACTTAATGCTCTGCCTACCATCTTGTCACTTGGGCTCCTCATGCCCACAGACCAGCAGGCAAAGAAAAGAGCGATTTATTGGCAGAATATTTTAAGGGTATACAGATGCTGTTATATAATGAGGGACAGATAGGAATAAGTTTGGCATTCAGGTGATCCATTAGGGCATATCTTGGTACTTTCATGCCCAGTTTTAACAGTAAATGGGTAAGTTTACCAACCACAGCCTGATAAGGGCATTGTACTAGAATCTCACACCTCTTAAGGATGAGGGACTGAGTCATCCCACCAAGTGAGTCATCTAGCAGTCCCAACCTTTTTGGCACCAGGGACCAGGTTCGTGTAAAACAATTTTTCCACAGACGGCGGAGGGTGGGGGTTGGGGGGATGGTTCAGGCAGTAATGCCAGCGATGGGGAGCGGCAGATGAAGCATTGCTGGCTCGCCTACTGCTGACCTCCTGCTGTGCAGCCCAGTTCCTAACAGGCTGCAGACCAGTACCGGTCCATGGCCCGGGAGTTGGGGACCCCTGATAGACCACTGGAGGTGCTAGCCAAAGGTGTGGGGAATCTAGGATGGATGGTAGAGGAAGGAGATATTGAGTATCAATTATGTCCTTGGGACCAAATGAAGCAAAGAGAGTTTTAATTTGTCCTCCTCACCCTCCTGTTTTCCTAGAAATTTTGACCAACTGTAATCCTGTATAAACTATACCAGGATGGAGTGACTTTAATGTGAGAAGCAAGTAGATCTCAGGAGTACAAGGGGTGGCTTATAGTGAATGCTGTTGGTGCTCTACTCAAACCTCATCTGCAAGCTGCAATGAGTGTTGACTGCTAATGGCTCACAGATGTCCCCTTCTCCAGAACATGCCCTTAGCCCAATGGGGGCTGCCTCATCTAGAAGGTTATACCGTGCAATAGCCAATGACTGACTGATATGGGAGTATAAAAGGCCAGCGCCCTTGCCTCAAGGTGGAACCAACTTCATGGTGCAATGTGTGCTCCAGAGTTCCTCATGGGATCTAAATGAAGCTGTTTTCAGTCGGGAATACATCCTTGCTTGGCTTTTTTCTGCTGTTCCATCTGTTTCCCTCATTCCCTTTCTTCTGAAGGTACTCCCTCCCTCAGTAAATCATGTGCACCAAGTATTCCCCTCTCAGGCTCTGCTTCTAAGGAACCCAGCTTAAGAAAAGATGTAAAGCAAAAACTGATGGAACTAAAAGGAAAAAGATCATAGATATTCTAAAACATCTTTTTCAATAACTGATGGAATAAGCAGATGAAAATATAAATAGAAACATGAATACATGGAGGCTAAACAATACACTACTTAATAACCAAGAGATCACTGAAGAAATCAAAGAGGAAATCAAAAAATACCTAGAAATACATGACAATAAAAACACGACAACCCAAAACCTATGGGATGCAGCAAAAGCAGTTTGAAGAGGGAAGTTTATAGCAATACAATACTACCTCAAGAAACAAGAAACATCTCAAATAAACAGCCTAACCTTACACCTAAAGCAAATAGAGAAAGAAGAACAAAAAAACCCCCAAAGTTAGCAGAAGGAAAGAAATCATAAAGATCAGATCAGAAATAAATGAAAAAGAAATGAAGGAAACAATAGCAAAGATCAATAAAACTAAAAACTGGTCCTTTGAGAAGATAAACAAAATTGATAAACCATTAGCCAGACTCATCAAGAAAAAAAGGGAGAACACTCAGATCAATAGAATTAGATATGAAAAAGGAGAAGTAACAATTGACACTGCAGAAATACAAAGGAACATGAGAGATTACTACAAGCAACTATATGCCAATAAAATGGACAACCTGGAGGAAATGGACAAATTCTTAGAAAAGCACAACCTTCCAAGATTGAACCAGGAAGAAATAGAAAATATAAACAGACAAATCACAAGCACTGAAATTTAGACTGTGATTAAAAATCTTCCAACAAACAAAAGCCCAGGACCAGATGGCTTCACAGGTGAATTCTATCAAATATTTAGAGAAGAGCTAACACCTATCCTTCTCAAACTCTTCCAAAATATAGCAGAGGTAGGAACACTCCCAAACTTATTCTAGGAGGCCACCATCACCCTGATACCAAAACTACACAAAGATGTCACAAAGAAAGAAAACTACAGGCCAGTATCACTGATGAACATAGATGCAAAAATCCTCAACAAAACACTAGCAAACAGAATCCAACAGCACATTAAAAGGATCATACACCATGATCGAGTGGGGTTTATCCCAGGAATCCAAGGATTCTTCAATATACACAAATCAATCAATGTGATACATCGTATTAACAAATTGAAGGATAAAAACCATACGATAATCTCAAGAGATGCAGAAAAAGCTTTGGAAAATTCAACACCCATTTATGATAAAAACCCTCCAGAAAGTAGGCATAGAAGGAACTCACCTCAACATAATAAAGGCCATATATGACAAACCCACAGCCAACATCGTTCTCAATGGTGAAAAACTGAAACCATTTCTACTAAGATCAGGAACAAGACAAGGTTGCCCACTCTCACCACTATTATTCTATTATTCAACATAGCTTTGGAAGTTTTAGCCACAGCAATCAGAGAAGAAAAAGAAATAAAAGGAATCCAAATCAGAAAAGAAGAAGTAAAGCTGTCACTGTTTGCAGATGACATGATAGTATACAGAGAGAATCCTAAAGACGCTATCAGAAAACTACTAGAGCTAATCAATGAATTTGGTAAAGTAGTAGGATACAAAATTAATGCACAGGAATCTCTTGCATTCCTATACACTAATGATGAAAAATCTGAAAGAGAAATTAAGGAAACATTCCCATTTACCATTGCAATAAAAATAAAATACCTAAGAATAAACCTACCTAGGGAGACAAAAGACCTGTATGCAGAACACTATAAGACACTGATGAAAGAAATTAAAGATGATACAAACAGATGGAGAGATATACCACGTTCTTGGATTGGAAGAATCAACATTGTGAAAATGACTATACTACCCAAAGCAATCTACAGATTCAATGCAATCCCTATCAAACTACCAATGGCATTTTTCACAGAACTAGAACAAAAAAATTTCACAATTTGTATGGAAACAAAAAGACCCCGAATAGCCAAAGCAATCTTGAGAACGAAAAATGGAGCTGGAGGAATCAGGCCCTTTGACTTCAGACTATACTACAAAGCTACAGTAATCAAGACAGTATGGTACTGGCACAAAAACAGAAATATAGATCAATGGAACAGGATAGAAAGCCCAGAGATAAACCCACACACATATGGTCACCTTATTTTTGATAAAGGAGGCAAGAATATACAATGGAGAAAAGACAGCCTCTTCAATAAGTGGTGCTGGGAAAACTGGATAGCTACATGTAAAAGAATGAAATTAGAACACTCCCTAACACCATACACAAAAAATAAACTCAAAATGGATTAAAGACCAAAATGTAAGGCCAGACATTATAAAACTCTTAGAGGAAAACATAGGCAGAACACTCTATGACATAAATCACAGCAAGATCCTTTTTGACCCACCTCCTAGAGAAATGAAAATAAAAACAAAAATAAACAAATGGGACCTAATGAAACTTAAAAGCTTTTGCACAGCAAAGGAAACCATAAACAAGACAAAAAGACAACCCTCAGAAAGGGAGGAAATATTTGCAAATGAAGCAACTGACAAAGGATTAATCTCCAAAATTTACAAGCAGCTCATGCAGCTCAATATCAAAAAGACAAACAACCCAATCCAAAAATGGGCAGAAGACCTAAATAGACATTTCTCCAAAGAAGATATACAGATAGCCAACAAACACGTGAAAGAATGCTCAACATCACTAATCATTAGAGAAATGCAAATCAAAACTACAATGAGGTATCACCTCACACCAGTCAGAATGACCATCATCAAAAACCTACAAACAATAAATGCTGGAGAGGGTGTGGAGAAAAGGGAACCCTCTTGCACTGCTGGTGGGAATGTAAATTGATATAGCCACTATGGAGAACAGTATGGAGGTTCCTTAAAAAACTAAAAGTAGAACTACCATACAACCCAGCAATCCCACTACTGGGCATATACCTTGAGAAAACTATAATTCAAAAAGAGTCATGTACCAGAATGTTCATTGCAGCTTTATTTACAATAGCCAGGACATGGAAGCAACCTAAGTATCCATTGACAGATGAATGGATAAAGAAGATGTGGCATATATATACAATGGAATATTACTCAGCCATAAAAAGAAACGAAATTGAGTTATTTGTAGTGAGGTGGATGGACCTAGAGTCTGTCATACAGAGTGAAGTAAGTCAGAAAGAAAAAAACAAATACCATATGCTAACACATATATATGGAATCATAAAAAAAAAAAAAAGGTTCTGAAGAACCTAGTGGCAGGACAGGAATAAAGACGCAGATGTAGAGAATGGACTTGAGGACACGAGGAGGGGGAAGGGTAAGCTGGGATGAAGTGAGAGAGTGGCATGGACATATGTACACTACCAAACGTAAAATAGATAGCTAGTGGGAAGCAGCCGCATAGCACAGGGAGATTAGCTCCGTGCTTTATGAGCACCTAGAGGGGTGGGATAGGGAGGGTGGGAGGGAGACACAAGAGGCAGGAGATATGGGGATATATGTATATGTATAGCTGATTCACTCTGTTATAAAGCAGAAACTACATACCACTGTAAAGCAATTATACTCCAATAGCAATGTTAAAAAAAAAAAACATGGAAGATTTGAGTATCATGGTTAACATACTGGACTGAATTGACTTTTATGGCACGCCATCCCCCACAACTGCAGAATATATATTCTTCTCAACTGCACATGGAACAATGATCAAAACAGACCACATGCTGGGCCATAATGCAACATTCAAAAATTTCAAAGGACTGAAATCACAGAGTATGTTTCCTGGTTACAGCTGAAATAAGCTAGAAATGAATAACAGAAAGGTAACTAGAAAACCCCCAAGTGTTTGGTTTTAAGCAATGACCATAGGTCAAAGAAATCACAATGAAAATGAGAAAATATTTTAAAGTGAGCAATAATGCAGTTACTACATATCAATTTTAAAAGTGCTGTTACAATCTATGTTTAGTGCTGTTAGAATCTATGTTTGATGCACTGTAAAATTTCAATCTTAAGTTCCCTAGAAGCAAACATTATTCAACAGCATGAGACAGAAAAGTTCATATTGCCAGCTAATTACAACTGGTTCAAATTTCATTCACCTCTACCAGATTATTGCTAGCTGGTAAGCCAACATCCTGATGAAATCATTTCCCCATGGGTAAAAGAAAAAAAAAAAGCCAAATCAAGAAAACTCAGAGGAACTGGTACCCACGATGAGAATAGCTTTGCTGCTAGAGGGATTTCTCTGGGTTTAACTTTTTTCTGACAACCAAGGCACAAATATATAAGGAACAAGCCTGCAGGCAAACTTCCATACAGAACCCTCCCTGGATACTTCTTTCCAAAGCTCCAGGGAAGTGGCTGCTTAGATTTCTGCCCAGCAGGCCACGATAAATAAATTATTTTATAGTCAATCTCTTGGTATGATCATTTTGGTCATATTAACTAGCTAACCAAAAGAAAAACCTACTTAATAGAATTCAACTTCTATTAATTACCCTAAAGTCAGAACACATAAAAAAGTTAGTGCCTACTGCTACAGTAAAACACAAAAAATTAGCTTTTATGTCATCTCTGTAATTAATCAGAGAAAATGAATAATTTTATGGTTTTTCTAATAAAAACAATGACCTCAGTAAAAAGCTATAACCTATAAACCTCCTGGCATTTGTACTTTTAGAACCCCAAGATAACACTGTATTACCAGTTGATGTTGAATATTTTCATGACGTTGCTTAAGAAGTTCTTCTGTCCTCTGCAAGAGACCAAATTCAGCTTTAAATTCAGCTATTATCTGATGCTTCTTTTTGAAAACTGTACTCTTGCTTCGAAGTTTACTGACATATCGTTTGAACTGTAAAAGAACATAACATGTAGTTTAATAAGTAGAAAAGTAGTTGCTAAGTACATATAACCTCAGTGTATTAGAAAAATTTTCTTTTCTACCATCCTACATGTGGGTCACAAGTACATAATAATAACTTAGTCTTATTAGAAAAGTTGGAAAGACTAACTGTTCAGTTAAAATATTTTGTGTATGTTTTTATTTTTTGGACCCATTAAACACTGTAAATCATTATACAAAAGCTATTTATTTTGGGCTTTACAAATAAGGATTAGGAAAACAGAAACTTCAACATTATAAAAGTAAAAAGGTTAAAAAGAAGAAGAAGGGACTTCCCTGGTGGTTCGGTGGGTAACACTCCATGCTCCCAGTGCAGGGGGCCGGGGTTCAATCTCTGGCCAGGGAACTAGATCCCACATGCATGCTGCAACTAAGAAGTCTGCATGCCGCAACTAATATCTGGCACAGCCAAAATAAATAAATAAATAAATATTTAAAAAGAAGAAGAAGGAAGCAGAAGACCATTTCTGGTTGTGGTCTTATCATGATATCTCTTATGTACTGTAATATTTTGGTGGCACTGGATCTACTGGGGTTAAAATAGCCAACCAGAATAGTCAACACTTGTAGCAACTATTTATCATTTAAGAAAGGTATTGTGACCATATACCCTAAGAAGCATCTGAAGTTCATCCCAAATGTTAAAAAGCTAAAAATATTCCAAATTAGTGGGAACTCATAGTTGCTTAATTCAGCTATTTACCTACTAATGATATTAAAGTTATAGCTACTCTAATGGAAAGACTCTGTTATTAAATAATACCAACAAGAGTTTGGAAAAACAAGTGAAGTGGATATTTACAGGAATTCATTTGACAAGTACTATTTATTAACTATTATGTACTAGGCACTGTGCCAGACACAGAGAATACAATGCTAAACAAGATGCTCACATGTCCTGCCCTCATCAAGCTTAAGGAATAGTGGGGGAAATAAACATTGAACTGATGTTCACAGCCATGGTGAACATTATGAAGCAGTGAAGGGACCCTGAGAATAAATAACAGGAGTTTAAACTGGGTTGTGATGAAGGTAGGAAATGTGGGGTTGGATTTTAGGGAGGTGGGTTTTGACAAGTTTCTCAAAAATAATTTAAGCCAGGACTGAAGTAGCAGGAATACATTAGAGGAAGGACAAAGGAGCAAGGAAGAGCATTCCAAGTAGAGGAAACAGCAGGTGTAAAGGTCCCAAGGCACTGGCTCATTAAAAGTATTGCTCAATATGAGAAGCAAATGTGAAAATTTTCTGGTATTTCTGAAACAGAAACATAACACATAAAAAAAAAAATCACTTTCTCTTATGTACCATTAGTACTAAGAATTTTTACTACATAAAATATTTTTTTCTGCTCCAACCTTTTATTAACTACATTATTTTTAAAATGTCCATAGTAAGAATCTGGCTTATTATACTTAAACTCATCACTTCAAAACAAAAGTAAGCCTCCATATTACCTAATATGAGAAAATTCTTTGATAATCTTAGCCTTTTAAATGCCCAATTCTTTACAAGGATAATTGGGGGGGGTTATAAATAATTTTATAAATAATAAAAGTAATGAATGTATTACTGAAATTTTAGAAAACGGAAAAAATTCACTCAAAGCCACTATCCCAATGCAAGCTCTATTATCATACGGTATTTTACCTCCTAATTTTAAAGGCTAAATCTAAGGTCAGTAATTATAAATTGCAAGGTAGCAAAATAGGAAGGAGAACATGTCTAAAATTTAGGTTTTTTTTTTTCTTAAAGACTTGATTGATTCCTGACTATACAAAGTCCTTAAAAATAGTAAGATTAAAAATTCTTCACATAAAAATAACCCTCTAATTCCTAGTTTAGACATCTTTTTGGCCTCTCCCGTTGCGCAGCACAGGCTCCGGACGCGCAGGCTCAGCGGCCATGGCTCACGGGCCCAGCTGCTCCACGGCATGTGGGATCTTCCCGGACCGGGGCACAAACCCATGTGCCCTGCATCGGCAGGCGGACTCTCAACCACTGCGCCACCAGGGAAGCCCTAGACATCTTTTTTAAACGTGACTTAAACTTTGAAAGAAATGAGGAACACATTGTGTTTTAGAGGAAGGAAGTTCAAAATATTTTTCTATTCATGACTGAGTTAGTTTTAATATTAAGGAATCCAGCCCACAAAAAGCAAATTATCAACGGCTGTATTACAGAAACAGTTTAAAAAATTTAGTCATACCAATGTACCTAGAATCTAATTACTTGCAATTTTTCCTTTTAAAGAATAAATGTGTAAGCCTGACATAACCACTGATTCAGAATCCCCAGACTAACTATATATTCTATTAAAAGTGTCCTGGGCAAAGTGCCCAAAATGAAATCAATCCTGTTCATCTGCTATCCTCTGTATTATCTAGGCCAATCTTCCCCTTCTCTATCTTGCTGTGCTCTGGAACTATTTTTAAAAGCTAAAAGCTATAAATGTTTTTGGTGAAAGAACAAACCTACCGATTACTCAATGTGCTCTATGCTGATTGGTTATTATTTGGCATTCACTGGACAAACTACCTAGGGGAAAGGGAGTCAGGGTCAGATTAATGACAGTTCCATAAAATTAAGCAATAGGTGGCCATCAAAGCACTCTAAGGGTTCCATTACCTTAGACTGAATTAGAGGAATTAGAGGGGAAAAAATGCATTATCCATGATTTTCTTCCATTGGAAGTTTTTTCTAACTATCATTTGGATTTTAGGTTATTTTTGAACTTTCAGATTATTGAAAAAAAAAACCATGATAAAAATATTGAAGCTAAATCTTGAGACACATTCTTAATAATTTCTATAGGCCATACTCCCAAAAATGGTCAGAAGGAAATTTTTTTTTTACCTTTAACTTAGTTTTTTTTTTTTATTTTTATTGGGTTTTGATACCTTCTGCCAAACTGCCCTTCAAAGGCTATTTATAGTACTGTTTATAATTGTCAATTTAATAAGCAGAATAGTATCTTATATTTTGTTTGCACTTCTTTATTAGGGAACTTCACTTTTTGCCATGTTAATTGTGCATTTGTGTGGATTTTTTAAAATGATATGCCTGTCTTTGGCTCATTTTTTAATTAGAGCCTTTCTTGTGGATCTGTAATAGTGATTTTCAAACTTTTGGGTCTTAGGAACCTTTTATTAATGATCTCAAAGGGATTTTGTTTATGTACATTGCTGGCATGATAAATCTGAGGGAAAAGAATAGAATACTCATTAGTAAACCAAATCCTACAACACGTAAAAAGGATCATACACCATGATCAAGTTGGATTCATTCCAGGGATGCAAGGATGGTTCAACATATGCAAATCAATCAATGTGATAACACCACATCAACAAAAGAAAAGACAAAAACCACATGCTCATCTAAATAGATGTAGAAAAAGCATCTGATAAAATTCAATATCCATTCATGATAAAAAATTCTCACCAAAGTGGGTATAGAAGGGGACATATCTAATAAACCCATTTATGACAAACCCACATCCAGAAGCTGAAAGACTTCCCACTAAATTCTGGAACAAGTATGCTCACTCTCACCACTTTTATTCAACATAGTATTGGAAGTCTTAGCCACAGCAATCAGACAAGAAAAAGAAATAAAAGGTATTCAAATTGGAAGGGAGGAGGTAAAATTGTCATTATATGTAGGTGACATGATACTCTACATAGAAAACCCTAAAGACTTCACACAAAAATTATTAGAACTCATCAGTGAATTCAGCAAGGTAGCAGAATACAAGATTAATATACAGAAATCTGTTGTATTTCTTTACACTAACAATGAAATATCAGAAAGAGAAAGTAAAAAAAAAAATTCTGTTTAAAATCATGTCAAGGGAATTCCCTGGCAGTCCAGTGGTTAGGACTCCACGCTTTCACTGCCAAGGGGCCAGGTTCAATCCCAGGTCAGGGAACTAAGATCCTACAAGCCATGTGGTACGGCCAAATAAATAAAATAAAATAAATAAGAAAATAAAATTAAATCACATCCAAAAAAAACCTAGGAATAAACCTAACCAAGGAGGTGAAAGACCTATACGCTGAGAACTATAAAACATTGAAAAAGGAAACTGAAGATGATTCCAAAAATCAGAAAGGTATCCCAAGCTCTTGGATTGCAAGAATCAATATTGTTAAAATGGCCATACTACCCAAAGCAATCTACGGATTCAATGCGATCCCTATTAAATTACCCATGACATTTTTCACAGAACTAGAACAAATAATCCTAAAATTTATGTGGAACTACAAAGGATCCAGAATTGCCAAAGCAATCCTAAGGAAAAAGAACTAAACTGGAGGCATAACCCTCCCAGACTACAGACAATACTACAAAGCTACAGTAATCAAAACAGCATGGTATTGGCACAAAAAAAGACATATGGATCAGTAGAACAGAATAGAGAGTCCAGAAATAAATTCACACACCTATGGTCAATTAATCTTTAACAAAGGAGGCAAGAATATACAATGGAGAAGGGACAATCTCTTCAGGAAGTGGTGTTGGGAAAGCTGGAGAGCTGTATTACCCCAGCCCTCACACCATACACAAAAATAAACTCAAAATGGCTTAAAGACTTAAATATAAGACATGACACCGTAAAACTTCTAGAAGAGAACATAGGCAAAACATTCACTGACGTAAACTGTAGCAATGTTTTCTTAGTTCAGTCTCCCAAGGCAAAAGAAGTAAAAGAAACAAATGGGACCTAATCAAACTTATAAGCTTTTGCACAGCAAAAGAAACCATAAACAAAATGAAAAGACAACCTATGGAATGGGAGAAAATATCTGCAAATGATGCAGCTGACAAGGGCTTAATTTCTAAAATATACAAACAGCTCATACAGCTCAATATTAAAAAACACAAAAATCCAATCACAAAATGGGCAGAAGACCTAAATAGACATTTCTCTAAGGAAGACATACAGATGGCCA